GTTTGCAGAGTTTGTGATGCATCTGGTCTGCAGGGGAGTTTGCAGGGTTTGTGATGTAGCTGGTCTGCAGGGGAGTTTGCAGGGTTTGTGATGCATCTGGTCTGCAATGGAGTTTGCAGAGTTTGTGATGCGTCTGGTCTACAGTGGAGTTTGCAGAGTTTACCTTCTTAACAAGCTTCAGACAACCTCTTTGATAGTCTGAGAGCATGAAAATTGTCTGGAAATTGGAAGCATACTCTCTCTCACATCTAAAACAAATGTTCACAAGAGGGTCTTTCCTACTCAGAATTTATCTTAAAGTATTTGCCACATGCATGTTTTAAAATTTATTTTATTGAAACTCCAAGTATAGTTAGATCATGGTCTCAACTTACAATTAAAGTGGCCCAGAATAGTACAGAGTACTGCCGAGAAATTCTCCAAAGAAAGGCAAATAATTAAAAGCATTGATTAGAAACAAATATACCATCAGCCTAGTTTTCTTTTCTTTTGGGGGACAGGGGTGTTGTTAGAGACTTGTTTAAGTGTTGGGAGAGTGAACATTGACAGACAGAATTACAGTGGCGAACAGTGAAATGTGCACTTGTCTTCAAAAGGTTTAGGAACTGAATTTTTTTTTTAATTGTTTTTTTCTTTAACCGATTTAGGTGGGTTAGCTAGGGAAAATCCTTGCTGTTTTTTATGTTAGTCTTTTAATTTTGTTTTAGCACTATAATATTTTCATTGTTTCAAGAAATTTTATTCCAAGCTTAGGGTTTCTATATTGATTTAACCTCAAAATGAGTTTTGCTTTTTGAAGTAGTAAAATATAGGTAGTTGTCATTTCTCTGATCAGATTACATCGTTTGAAATTGGCTTCTTGGTTTTGTGGATTTTTAGCTCAGCCTTTCATTTTCCCTTTACAGTTATTCTGCAGTGTCAGCGTGACATTATTTTCTCCTTTAAGTATTTCAAACAATGATCATTTTGGCACATCCACTCTTGCATTCCTTCAAAGTGTATTTATGGTGTGCTTGCAGTGTGCCAGGAACTCTGCCAGGCTCTGGGGAAATAGCAGAAACACGTGGGCTGACACATCTCTGCTGTCATGAAACCTCGTGGGGGAGGGGGGAAGAGACGGACTCTGAGCTCTGTGTCAGTCCAGGTGTAAAATCTGGACAAAGGGACTTTATGCTAGAGGAATTTGACTTGGTAGGAAAAGATTTACTGAGAAACAGATGCTTCATTACTTAATCGTGAGCTGAAGGACGAGGAGAAATTAAGTAGACCAAGGAAGGAGCAATCCATTTTCTAGGTCGAGGGAACAGTGTGGGCAGGAGCAGGTACCTGCCAGGCTGGTTGGCAGACCGGTGAGTCAGTGGGAGAAGGAGCTGGAGATGCAGGAGATGGGGCCAGGCGAATACTGGCAGCTGGGTAGCAACCTGGGCAGCAGCCTGGGCGGGAGAAGGTGGGCTGCAAAGGTAGAGAGCTGCGCGATGTGGAGCCAGAGAGGGTGGGTTTTCTTTTTAAGTTACGTAGCTGGTTGGGTTGAGTACGTTACGGAAGTTGCAGATTGACTGTACTTTTTCTTCTAGGAATTGCCGGGCCTGTCTGTCACTGGCTGAGTGGAGCTCAGCGACTGGAACCACGTGCTGACGGGGGAGCTGTCTCTGCTTTTGTCCTTTGCAGTATTCCTTAAATTCTTTTCACATTTTCTCTTACTGTAAAAACTGCATTTAAGTTTTAAAAAATGAAGCAGCTGAAAAGAAAAAGGAAAAGCAATTTTAGTGTTCAAGAGACTCAGACCCTCTTAAAAGAAATTACGAAAAGGAAAGAAGTAATTTTTTCCAAGCAGCTCAATACCACGATTAACGTGATGAAGCGAATGGCTTGGGAAGAGATCGCACAGTGCGTGAACGCTGTGGGAGAAGGAGAACAGAGGACGGGCACGGAGGTGAAGCGGAGGTACCTTGACTGGAGGGCGCTCATGAAGAGGAAGAGGATGAAGGCCAACATCAAGCTGGTGGGCTCCGGGTTCCCCCTCCCCTCCTCTGACTTAGATGACTCTCTCACTGAAGAGATCGATGAAAAGATTGGATTCCGAAATGATGCAAATTTTGACTGGCAAAATGTGGCCGATTTCAGGGATGCAGGTGGATCCTTAACTGAGGTTAAGGTGGAAGAGGAAGAAAGGGATCCCCAGAGTCCTGAAGTAAGTATCAGCCTGTGTACCCCCTTTTCTCTTCTTCAGTTCTGCTGTAGGAGTTTGAGAATGGCTAAGCAGTTCCCAGATTTTCAAGTTTACTTAAAGCTGGTGCAAGTTCATTCCAGTTGTTCTCCCTTAGTGATACTTCTTCCAACCTAAACATCATAACCTCAATTACATGTATAAGGGACTTCAGATAATTCCGTGTGCGTGATTTCCAAAGTTCAAATTAAGTGGTTTTGAATAGTCAGACAATACAGAAAGCTTCTCGGAAATAGTTGAGACAAATTGACAGCCATGAAGTAGAAGTAAACCCTGAAAGCTGCTTTTCTCTCTTTCCTTAGTTTGAGATTGAGGAGGAAGAGGAAATGCTGTCGTCGGTCATACCAGACTCCAGGAGGGAAAGCGAGCTGCCTGACTTCCCGCACATCGACGAGTTTTTCACTCTGAACTCAACTCCTTCTAGGTCCGCATATGATGATCCCCATTTGCTTGTAAACATAGAGAAGCAGAAACTGGAGGTGGAAAAGCGCCGCCTGGATATTGAGGCCGAGCGGCTGCAGGTGGAGAAGGAGCGTCTGCAGATCGAGAAGGAGCGGCTGCGGCACTTAGACTTGGAGCACGAGCGGCTGCAGGTGGAGAAGGAGCGGCTGCAGATCGAGCGGGAGAAGCTGAGGTTACAGATAGTGAGTGCAGAGAAGCCGTCTGCGGAGAATGAGCTTGGTCAAGGGGAAAAGGCCGTACTTCAGCCCCAGGACATAGAAACGGAGAAGCTGAAGCTTGAGCGAGAACGCCTGCAGCTGGAGAAGGATAGGCTGCAGTTTCTGAAGTTTGAATCCGAGAAGCTGCAGATTGAAAAGGAACGCTTGCAAGTAGAGAAAGACAGACTTCGCATTCAGAAAGAGGGGCTCCTGCAGTGATTTCGCTAGGCCTCCATTTAGCAAATATTTGTAAACTTTAAGTTTTTCTTATACCAAATGATAGAAAGATGGTTACTGGATTAGCTCTGTGTGTGTTTTCTTTTTTTCTTCTCTAATGTCAGTGATTTCAATAGGAAAAAGTTGTATGTGGGTAGCTGTGTGCTTAAGTAGTATATTATATAAAGACTCAGCCCTAGCATAAACAGTGTAGCGGAAACCTATTGTGCTGGACTCTTTATATTAGTACTATTACATAGAGTCTTGTATAATCTGTGCGCCCAGAGTTATGTCTGTACGGGATTCTAGCCCAGAGGTTCTCAACCAGGGGTGACTTTGGCCGCCAGAAGACATTTGGCAACATCAGGAGACATTTTTAGTTGTCAAAACTAGGTGGGGGCAGGTTGCCACTAGGTGGTAGTGTGTAGAGGTCAGAGATGCCACTAAATGCCCAGGACTGCCCCTTAACACACACAGACACAGAGACACAAACATCCAACCCAAATGTCTCATTACTGTTGAGTTGGGAAAACCTATTTTAGCCTAACTGTACACCTCTATAGCTGTGTTTTATAGTTTTAGATATTAAAACCTAAAATACTTATGTGGGTAGGTACTTAAATGGCCAAAAACATTAACTATGAAACATTACTATGTAGTGTATTGAATATAGGAAGTGGTGAACATGGTAGGTATTTTATTCCTATATTTCCATCTGGACTTCTGAGATTCAGAAAACAACGTAGGGAATATCAGAGTTTCTAATGGGGTCACTTTGAAAAGCAGAACACTCATGTAGCTGTTGATGCTTTAGAAGTGAGACACGAGTTTTAAGCTTTAGTTTCTTTTCTTTGAATCCTAGTCTTAGTTTAGATATAAGAATTGTTATTTCAGCCATGTCTTGAGGTCTTACACCAGTGAATGATTGAAACTAGTAAAAAGGTACCAGTATAAAAATGGTGCCGTAGTCTGTGAGCTTGAACCCAACGAGTGGTTGCTTGACTTTTAAAATTAATAACAGCTATTTGGGAGTAGGGTGAAGGGAGAATATTCTCTGTATCCAATAATGATGGTGTTGAAATAAAGTGATGGCTGTGCGTTGTGGAGTGGAGGAAGAAGCCCTCATCACCTGCTGTCGGACTTAATTTTCTGTAAGGTCATTCCTGAGAGTAGAATCTGTAATTGCTGAGTCTGAAGCTCCGAGAAGTCACACAGTGAGTAAATGGCTGATCTTCTACACCATAGTGTGTTTTGTCTTTTCCTCTCGCTGAGGAGCAAAGTATTTGTTCTGAGCCCCGTGACTGGCTTACCCTTACGCTCATTTTCTTTCAGTTCCCTAAAGGTGCTTTGTCCACAGTCTGAGTGATTCCGATGCACACTGGAGTTGAGCATCACTGCACAAGGTCACTTTGGTGTCTGATTTCCAGGGCTGACACGGAGCTTTAATACGTCTCTCTGTTGGCAGATACTATCTGCACTGGTTCCTTGTTAATCTAAGAATGGCTTGAAACTGTACCTTGACATTTGAGAATGAGTTTGCAAGGAAAAAATAGACTTCTGCATACTTACCCTAACTAAAATAGTGTTATTTTTGTACATCTGAAATAAATGTTTCTACCTTAGAGATGCACTTGCCTGTGCTAACTATGTGGATGTTTGTCATTTCAGGTGATGCTTGGTGCTCTAAGGGTACAGGTCATCTAGCTCGGGAGAGAGCCCTGTCATTGTCAGTGAGGAAGGAGGACACAGCGTCTTGGGCTACTTGCGTTACATATGTTATTTTATTTGCTCCACAAAACATGTTATCTTTATAAGAAAAGAAACCAGTGCCTCATTGATTTAATTAACTATATCCCTGAAAATGCTTTTAATAATACTGACCCAAAATTTTAGTATAAGAGCTCTATGAAAGACCAGTGAAAGTTTGTTGTAGTAATTTTAAGTCTTGTAGCTTTGCCATTTGCTACTTGTAAAATTTACCCTTCCACTTGATTTCCTTATTTGTAAAATGGTGTAATGATTCCTATTCTGCCTGAGTGGCTTTTTTTTTTTTTTAAGAGATGGTATAGGTAGACTACAAAATGTTTCTTAAATGAAAGATACTGGTGTTGGATTTGAGATCAGTAGATTTTAATTTCCTAGGGAAAGCATGAGCATACCAGTAATTAATTTTGGATAGAGCACTCTTAAGTTAATGGAAGTGAGAAACAATAAAAAGTATAATATCTTCCAGGGCTTTGGTTGAAGACCCCTGGGTTTCTAATCCTGTCCCAGGTACAGACGGGTAGGTTGATTCATTTCAGTAGAAAATGAGCTGTTGAGCTTCTGAGGAGGTGGGCACTCGCCCATTGAGTTACCTGCTAGCTATTTCCGTGTTGCTAACAAATCCCAAATTTGGTGGCTGGAAGCACCGACCATGTATTTTGCTCAAGATTTTAGAGGAAATTAGGCTGAACTTAGCTGAATAGTTTTGATCTTGGCTGGGTTCTCATGGTCAGCTGCAGGTTGGCTAGGTGGTTCCGCTTCTAAGATTAGTGTGGATACTGGTTGAGGAAGGTGGATGGTGGGGCCGACTGTCCCTGTGATGTCTGTTCTCTAACCAGGCTAGTTTGGGTTTGTTTTAGGGGCAGCGGGTCCAGAAGAGAAAGCACAGGTGCTCAGTGTGTCTAGAGGGGTAGTCACAGAAGTAGCACCTGGTCACATTCCTGTCACAGTTTATGGGCCAAAATAGTCGTAGGGCCAAAGCAGACTCAAGGGGCGGGGAATAGTCTACCTGTTGATGAGAGGAACGGTGAAGTTGTTTCCTACAAGATACTCACATGGAGAGGGTGGGGGACTGTGGCCATTTCACTGTCAGTCTGCCACATCTGGTGTGCCTGGGATACTCCTGATAACACCAGTGGTTCTCTTACCCTACCTGGTTGAGCATCTGTCCTGGACAAAAATGCCCTGATAAGAACTTTAAATCACGCGGTCACCCTCCCAAGGAACATCTCTTCCCATCCCTTTTGTAAAGATACTGACGTAGAAAAGGAAGGGGCCATACATTTGCAGGAAAGAAAAAGGGTTCTCCGGGGCTTTTTCTTCTGTATTAAACACTTCAGTCTCTGTCAACTGAAGAGAATTCCTGCTCCGTTTCTTTCATTTCTGCCTAATTTATACATTTTATATTAGTTTGTTGTTTCTCTCTTCATCTTTCTACCTTTCCTGCTTTGTCACCTCCTTCCTGTGAATAAAAACAGAACGTTGTCCTTCCAGAATGTTTTAATAGGTGCCTTTTCTTACCTCTTTTTCCTTAACATTTTTTTTGTTTGTTTTGAACCTACAATGATTATTACTTGCTGCTTTCCATTTACTTTAACATTATCCTTTCCCAAAAGTGAATTTAATTTTTTACATGTTTCCAGTTTGTCAGGGCTTTCTACCCACTGTCCTCAGATGTGAAACTGTAACTTCTGAAGCTCCCAGAGTACGAGCAGCTGCTTCCTTTTTCTACCTCTAACTCCTTTCTGTGCTTACCAGGTAGTGTTTTGCCCTGTGCCTTAAAATCCAGGTGAGGATTGTGTGTCAAATGCATCACTTTGAAAATTTCCCCCAGTGCACATTGAAGAAGGGTCAGCCTATATATGGCTGGGACACAGCTGGAGAAGAACATACCTCCTTGGGAAAAAAAGGTAAATTGATTGTTTAAATCTGAGAAGATTAATTTACTACTACCATGCTGTTTGAATGGAAACTTAGGAGGAAACAAGACATGACAGTGATTATAAAATTTGAAGTGTGCTGTGGTCCCAGCTCCTCGGGAGGCTGAGGCAAGAGAATCGCATAAGCCCAAGAGCCAGAGTTTGCTGTGAGCTGTGATGTCATGGCACTCTACCAAGGGCGACAAAGTGAGACTGTCTCTAAAAAAAATAAAAAATTGAATTTTGATAAATATTTTTTGAGAGATTTTTCAATAGTTTTCATCAAGGAATACTCTTTATGATTTATTTTTCTGATGTGACCCATCCTTAAAAATAATAAAATATAAAGTACATCAACTTTTTATTATTAATTCCCTTTAAATTTAAATCTCCAGGTCCAACATCTGAGCTAAAATACAAACTTGTACTTACAGCTGTTAGAAGCATCACACCCTGTGTATTTTGCTGTTTCCTTAAATGCGTGGTGCATGCCAGAAGCAAATTCATCAGCTCCCTTCTCACATGCATGTAAATCATCTTCCCTCTGCTAGGGCACCATTTGCGCCAAGTTGTCTTTGAATCCTTTGCCTTCTTCCCACTACCAAAGCTGTTGATGATGAAGTCCTGTCTGCTGACGCCTCAAGTCAGCCACTTCCAAACACACACAGCCCTTGGCACTGGGACACCTGTAGTCTCCATTCCAGCAGCCTCCTGTCGTTGGTCCCTTCCTAGCTAAACTTCCCTGTATGACACCTCCAGATTAGATTTGCCAAAGTACTTTCCTTATGTCTTGAAAATTGACAACATGCCAAGTAGTGGAAGAGGAGCAAAGCTCAGAGGTCCCGTTCCTGCTCCACTTCAGTTGGGTTGGGTGACGGGGCCGTCCGTCTCAGCGCATCGCTGTTCTCACCTGTGTTATATCTACAGGCACATATACTACAGATACACCTGGTGCCCTGCCCAACTCTTACATGTTTGGAATAATATATGAAAACAGCTTAAAACTAGACATCAGTTTAGAGGTATTACAAATTTGTTTTCCCCACGAGTCTCCCATTCCCTTCTGTATCAAGTGTAAAGTCTGCAAATATCCTTTGCCTACCCTGTTTAAGGTTTTCTCATGCCAAAATAACTATTGTCAAGCTGCTCTACGAATAAGCCGTGCGTTTTTCTTGCCTTTGCCTTTGATCACTTGGCTTTCACCCTTCGTCTTCCTGTTTTCTGTTGTAGAGGACCAGTCAGCAGAACAAAACTCAGATCGAGAGCCTTTGTCTTTTCATTTCTACTACTGTTTACCACAATTTAAAAACATCAAAATGAATTTCACTGCGTAAAATTGGAATATTTTATCATAATATTGATATCACATCTTTCAAGTCTCCTTGGAGATCTTTTGAATAAAA